CTTCCATCTTGAGAAATATGTACCTGTCTGTTCATTTTCATACCTTGCAAGTAACCTCGGCTCCCACAGTTGGGCTGTTTTTGTTTAATCACATTGTTTTACTCATGTTTTTTTTTTCTTTAAATAGGCTTGCATATAGAGAACACCTTTCTGTTGGTCAGCTGCCAATCTGAAAGAGCTGGTGTCGAGTCTGTGTTTCAAGCCATTGGTACTGCACAAAGTCAGCTTGAAATACAGAATAAAGAATAAAATAGTTTGAGAATTCTTGCATTGAATTAAAAGAATTTTAATTGTATCCCCCCCCCAGGGCACTTCTTAGCATTGAGCAATTTAAGACTGAAAATAAAAGTGACTTGGAATATTTGTAAGGACACATTACATAACTTCACACAACGCACGTGTGTTTTCAGGAAGAACATTCAGATACAGATTAGGATTGGAACACCCATCTTTCCCAATCAGTTTAATTCTAGGAATTGCAATTCCGATATATGATGTTGAAGTGGGCTTAAATTATGAATGTTTAACTGTGGATTTTTAATGTATGCTGCCCAGAGCACTGTGTGATAGTTGGGTGGCTATAGAAAGTTGTGCATAGACACACTAATAAATTAGCATCTCAAGAAAAGAGAAAAGAAACACTAGTTGTACTGATATGACTGGTGTCATTCTTATTGGAACTTATCAGAAATGGCCAGATGTTATTCAGTGGGGTTTAAATCAAATAATTGAATTCATGCACTGTATTTGTAATCACACTCACACTTTAGATGTCTATACTCAGCGTACTACCTGTAGAAACTGCAACCAATTTCTGCAGGTAGTTCTCGACTTATGACAGCAATTGAGCTCAAAATTTATGTTGCGAAGTGAAAAATGTATTAGTAAGTTTTGCTGCATTTTACAATTTTTCTTGCCACATTTGTTAAGTGAATCAGTGCAGTTGTTAAATTAGTAATACAGTTGTTAAGTGAATCTGGCTTCCCCATTGACGTTGCTTGTCAGGTTACAAAAGGTCAGAAGGTCGCAAAAGAGGAATCACATGACCCCTGGACACTGCAACCGTCATAAATATGAACCACTTGTCAAGCATCCAAATATAAATTACGTGGACATGAGGATGCCGCAATGGTCATATGTGTGGAAAATGGTCATAAGTCACTTTTTTCAGTGCCGTTGTAACTGGTCACTAAATGTTGTAAGTTGAGGACTACCTATATGTGAGAACACCTGTACAGTTGCATCCTAAAAGTGATGTCATTTTGTTTGGTTTTCAGACATAGATTGTCTTAAGATATTTTCCCTTCATGGGAGAAAAAGAATTTCTTGTCTCAGGATCAGGCACAAAGGCATATCCAGCTACTTAAAGCCACCTCTCCTTCAGATCAGATCCTTCACAATAATAAAAAAACCCTCAACACCCTCTAATTACATGAGCTGTTCTGTCAAGTTTAATTATAACCTGGTTGCGAATCATACCCAATATACAATTGACTTCTCATCAAACTGGCATTCAAGATCCGACTTCATGATGATGTGTTTTTTGCTCTTTCTTTGCTGGGTATGGATTGACATTTCCATTTATAATATTCCATAAAAGAAGGAATTCAGACATTAAAGAATGTTAATTATTACTTGGAATTGCAGTTACTGGCTTCCAGATTCTTCATCAAAAGTATCTTTGCATATTTAGAAATAATGGAGTTGACTTGCAATGGTTGGGAGGGGGGTCATGTTGAAGAAGATGGGGCAGAGCAGAGAAACTGTACTTTTATACAGTTCTCTCTTTCTATATTGTTTAACTTAACAAAATGTGTAAGTCTCTGATGAAATGGATGGCTGGAGAATGCTGGAAGTTGAAGTCCACAGGTCTTAAAGTTGCTAAAGTTAGACAACCTTGCTCTAAATCTTTGCAAAATTGTTCAGCTTGGGCTATCAATACCAAGCTATTACAACCAGATCCCTTTCCTGCATAAATATATTCTTGTTTGGACCTGTTATCATAGAAACATTTTTGATTTAGTTGCATAACAGTATTTAGAGAAGGTTTACATAGAATTCAAAATTCTCCAGAGTCATAAAAATTGGAAAAAAGTGGACATGATCAGCATTGGTGATATGCTATACTTCAATTATAGATACGACTAGATGTTTGCCAAATTGGAAGAGAAAGTATTAGCTATACATGTGTTACTATAAATGATATAAAAACACTTCCGCACAGGAATTAACATAAAATTTATCTGTGACCAAGCTGAATCTTAGCTTTAACAGATCTGATGACTACCACATCTATTCATATATGTTTGTGTGCTATTGTAAAGGACATTTTTTATTTGGAATATTACATTGTATGAAGCAAATGGATTCATTGATAGTTGATGCTGAAACAATTTGGAAATATTCAGTATTCCTTTTAGTGCAATGTTAACATGAAAAAAAGAATCTGATTAGTCATTATCAAATCCTTTTTTGGCAGCTGTTTACTCAGTGTGAGAGGTCACACTAACATCTCCATATTTTCATTTATATATTCCTTAAATTGTTTGCTTATAGGCATTTTCACGATTCAAGGCTTCTTAAATATCCTGTTTAATCTTTTATTTTGTCAAAAATATTTTTATTCTGCATTTTTTCCTCCAAAACACACCTTTCCCCATGAAATAACATTAGCTCGGTGGGAGAAAAATATTTTTACAACAAATTTTTAATGTTAGGATCAAAGCACATCACCATTTTGTGCTGGCTTTGCTGACACACACAACTGGCTTGGAAAATATTGTGGCTAGAGATACACATTGTAGGCAATAATATTTGCTAGTGGCAACTAGAGGTATTGGGTGCTGCAATACACTAAATGAAATAATGTATTTGTTGGTAGGATGGAAATACTGTGATCCCACCAAAATTTCTTCTAGAGCCCATCCTGTCAGATTTCTGAGGAATTAGGAGAACCTTCTTGTTCTATTCGCTTGATAAAGGGACCACCATGATTAAGTGGACTGACAAATAAAATAAGCAAAGTTGGCTTTAGAGAAAATCCTTCTGAAAAGCTTGATGGACAAGTTATATTAATTGAAAGCCCATAGTGAATTCAGAGGTTACCACTGCTTGCTTTATGAACACTTTTGGCTTAAATTTCTGAGCCCAGAAACATAATCTGTGTGTCATTATTAATTTTCATTGGTCCTTGGCTCAAATTTTACTTTTGTTACTGTATATGGCCAGCTGTGCTGGCTGGAGAATTCTGGAAGTTGAAGTCCACAATCTTAAAGTTGCCTAGTTTGGGGACACTTGTGCTAGTAGAAGAAAATTCATCAGCAGTGTTAACTAGGAAATGTGCATCTGAACCAAGACGGTGTACATGTACTTCGTTTAGAATAGGTATAAACACTTGGGAAAGTTTTCTTCCAAAAATGTGGACATTCCACATAAATGAAGGCATATTTTATTCTGGTCAGAAGGTAGGGACACTGCAAAAGACATGATTATCCAATTATCGCTTGGTCTCAAAATCCATTTGTTCCATCTTTTACTAAATTAGGTTTCAAGGCAAGGTAGATAGCTCCTGGGTAACTGAATCATCACTTATTGCATTGTCCCATGGTGACTCAACTCCAGGGGAGAACAAGAGAATAATTGGATTGATCTAGCTTGCGTATGAGAACTTCTGCTAATAATGGAAGGAATGAGAAAAAAACAGGAGACAAAAAAAATAAAACGACTCTATCCAGCTCCCTTCTAGTTCCGATGGCCTGATTGTGCCTTGGACTCAATGTTGACTTCTTGTCACTGCCTGGACAAGTCCCTGCAATTTTCTTAGCAAGACTTCAAAAGTGATTTGTCATTGCCTATTTCCTAGGCCCAAGAGAAGGATTGGCCCAGGGTCAACCAGTTGGCTTTGTGCCTAAGGCAGGATTAGGACTGGCCTGGCACTTTAACACTACACATACTTCTCAACTTAAGACCACAATTGAGACAGGAACTTTGGTCACTAATTGATGTGGTTGTTAAGAGAGTCATCTCTGATTTTATGACCTTTTTGCTGCAATTATTAAGTGAATCATGCAACTATTAAGCAAATCCAGCTTCCTCCATAGTGGACCCCGCCCCACCAGCAGCTGACTCAGATGAGGAGGCAGAGTGGGAATCAAGGCCAGCATCAAGGCAATCCGAGTTCTGAGGGGGAAGAGAGAATGGAGCTGTCAGAGACAGAGGCAAAGCCTGGGCCATCCATCAGCTCTCAGATGGAGGGGCAACAGCTCCCTGGTTCAGAGGTGGCTGATGAGGAAGAAGAGGAACAGCTGGGTCCTTTGCCTGATGCACGGATGCGCAGAAGGGAGATGAGCGTAGTGGGGATCTATGGGCCATTCCTCGGGATGGAAGAGTTACCACTGCTAGTAAAGATCCACCCTAGCTCTGGTGATAAAAGCAAGGGGTGGAGGTGAATAGGTGTGGAAGACAACTATTCGTCTCCCTGTTAGTCAGCCACTGATAGTCTGAACTTCTGAATCCTGTAGGGAACTCTATTGGAATTCTATCTGAGGCGCTGAGAGTCGGGCGCACCTTCACAGAATGTGTTTCCGCTGCTGGAAAAAGAGTGAGTGCACCTTCCAGGACTTCTGTTACAAGTGTGGCAAGAGAGAGAGAGAGACTCCTGGTGGGTTGGAGCCATTTTCAGGGGGAAAGGGAACGAGCTGCGATTTCCCACAGGCACTTTGTTAGACTGCTGTGAGAGTGCCATCGTAATTTCAAATGGATTTACTGTTGTAAATCGAGGACTACCTGTATAATTTTATGGAGGATTGGCTGGAAATCTCCTTGTGCTTTGAGCTAACATGACCCAATTTTAAGAATAGGCTAAATGATGAATATATCCAGAATACAGATACAGATCTACAACTGAAGAGTCACAATGAAAGCGTTCCCACTTTTTCAGCAGCTGAATATATTTAACAGTCGCACAACGCAAGGAAAAAAATAGTGCTGAGTAGCAGTTACAGAATCAGAAAGCTTTATTTACACAGAGTAACAAGTAAATTCCTGAGACTGCAGCTGCTCTATAGTGCAATAAAGTCATTTGAGAGAGTACAAATCAGCAGTTTTCTTAATTTTTCCATGTCAGGGAACAGTCTTCACCGACATTAGATTTTGAACAAACACCAACTACAGAGCTGACTTTGTATATATGTCAATATGTTTGCATCTGTGCAATTACCATGAACAAAAAGACATACATACATGTGTCTGTGTACACCCACACACCCACGCACACCCTTGGAACTAAACATTGCTAGACTTCAAGGATTTTCAAAGGCTTTTTGGCCATCATTGTGTTCTGATTCATTGGTTCTTAGACACTGAAAATATAATGCTGAAAAAGACTACTATAATTCTAAAAATATTCTCTAGTTCTGTTTCAAGAAGGAGTATCTAAAATGCATTTGTAATACAATTATTACTGGGCAAAAGAAATTATGCTACTTGTGAAAAGTTACAGTAAAATCCAGAAATACGTTCTATTTCACCTTATTTTTTTCTTCAGTATGTAATTAAATACATACTAAATATTTATTCAGTTCTAAATAGCAATGACTGTTAGATCTACAATACATTCCCTATAAGAACATTCATCAGTGCTAATAGGACAAAACCCTTCCATAAAAGTTGCATTTAAAAACTTTTTTTTTTAAAGGGAAAATTATTGACATTTATTGCTGTTGTCATTACATTTCAACAGTACAGATTGATCTGTGTGCCAACTAAGCTGTTGTCCGTCTGTCTGCCTGCTGATTTGAATGTACTGCTTAGCAAACAAAAGTATTATTTGCAATGGCAGTGAATGTTCACAAAAAAACTCAATATACCTGATCAAAACCTGCTGTAGGAACTAGTTCCAGGAAACTAACTAATCCGGCAGGAGCACAGGATCCCCAGTAGAGGAATCCAATGGGTTTTTATTTCAGTGGATATGACCAAGCATAGATGCAGCTGAACATCTTTCTTTTTTTTCTTTTCAGAACAGCACCCCTGTATGTTACCATCAAAAGTGTTTTCCATAAACATACACTTATATTTCAGATGTTTACATTTTGTGTGAATGTACATGCATGCACATACGTCTCATCTATATATACAGCCATACATACATCCTTACATCCCATAACATTTTGCTTCTATTTAAAAGAAAAAAGAAGAAGTAAGGCTTTAAAAACTCAGTTTCAATACATAAATCATACAACAACACCAAACTCAATGCAATCCTGGGATTAATTTTAGGTAAACACTCTATTGTTAAGTATGCAGATGTGTTCACTGTAAGGCCATTTGCTAGTGAAGCATCATTGATAAGGCAAAGAAAGTTTGCAGCTATATAAACTAAGCTACAGTTAGGCGAGTTGGGTAGTGATCCTCTGGGGGGCACTTTCCTACTCTGTGTACATAGCTTCTCATAGGTTGCAGCCCTTTTAGTTTTTTAGAAAGCCCTTATGCATAAAAACCCTAAATAAGAAAAGACTGCCTCTACCACATGAAAGACAAAGCAAACTGTCATTAATCAAGATGTATGTTAAGTAAAAGCTGATACACTATCTCAAAAAGCATAAGGTTAATGGCATAAGATGTACTCTCTGTTGGCAAGCCCACATAAAAATGCTATGATTAGGAAGCATTACTTCCAAGTGAAAATGTGATAGCAAAGAACACGCTATTTTTGTGCACAGCACACAGGCAACCATTTCTCTGAGGATAGGTCATGTTTAATAAAATAATAATTTCTATGCAATCCAAGTTGGTGGGGAGAATTTTGACAGAACCATGCAATAAAACAGAAAATAAATCCAGTGGGTTGGATCCAGATGAAATGAAATGAAGATATCATTTACTGAAATTAACGAGTCTTAAGTAACTTACCCCACAACCCTACACTCACATTTACTCAGAAGTAAGTCACACCAAACTCAGTTACTTTGGTGTAAATATATATACAATCCTGATATGGTCTGATCCAAAATTAGCAATTAATTTAACAATACCACAGAAAAATGCTATGTGTTATATTTGCACAGAGTACTTTGTTTTCAAAGAAAAAAACAGCTATGCAGATAAAAAATATGGATCAATATGCCTTATCTGAAATAGTTAATAGCCTAAACAATCCATTTGAGTGCCTATTCCAATATGCCATATAGGAATTTTCAAACACTGCTCAACAGATCTCTGACAGTACACATGTAGCCTGAATAACAAATCTATTATTCAAAACTTGCATTGAGTAAGCTCTTTTGGCCATAGCCACCTGATTGGTTGTCCAGATGTTATACAACCAAAACCTGTATCTAATAACATGGTATGCATACTTGCACATTACCCTACAGACTCTGTTTATATCAATAATTAAAGATTATTCATTTGCCATTGTAATTTTTGCCCATAGTGACCTCCAGGTGATAAACAACCGGCTTAGTTTGTCAGCATAAATGTATTTAATTATTGCACTCAATAGAAAGGTTACCTCTCTAGTAAGAGCTTGGGTATCACTTGAACAAAGACAAATTTTATAGCACCACATGACTCTGGTGCTGTCCTCAGTAAAAGAGGTAAACAACTTGTATGGTCAAAAATGAATTTGCATGCCTCACACATATTTTATTATTTCTTATTTATCACAAAATACTGTATTATCCAACCTCTCTGCCATTCATTTCACCTACTCTTCCTCCAGGTCTTCCACATAAGAAGAAATGCTAAAGAAGAAAATGTGATTCCTTGGAGTGGTGTTGTGAAGGACAGCAGCGATAGCTTTGTATTCACGCTACAGAAGTTCCTGTCTCTAAAGCAGAACACCAACTATCTTAATACTTTTGTAGCGGAGCAAAATTCAGGGAAAGGAAAAAGAAACTATCATTTTCAGAGCAAGCATCTTCCTCCAGTGTGCCTTATAAGCTTTTTTTTTTTTTTTTTAAATCAGGAAGGATTAATTTTAGCAGTCACACTACCTATGGAGCTGGTCTGAAAATTGAAAATTTTGCCTTGGGGAAAAAATGGTATTCTTAACTTTCAGAAGATCAATAACAATTAAAAGCTGGGCTTTGGCTTACAGTCAGCTAGACCAACCACTGTTTTATCTTTACACCAAAAACTGGTGGAAAGACTGGAATATGGTTTTTGTGAAAAAAATCCAAACCTAGAGGAATTACAGAATGTTGGTATAAGTACAATTTTTAGGAGCTCAGCGCCCATGATTAATCCAGACACATTTACATTAGTGCAATGCACCTGGAGCAGTGGAATTGATACTATTGTCAAGATAAAGAGATTTTCTCAGAGCTCCTAACATTCAGTGTTCATAACAACATTGCTACATAATTACAGCCACTACCATTACCTGGTAAAATTTATAGGGTCAAAAGCAGTAAGAGAAGAAGAAAACTTCCAGATCTTTCATATTCCTGATAACCCACAGTGAGATGTAAAACTAATTAATTCAGCTCAAATTGTAAAAACGAAACAAAACCTAATTCCAAGTCAAATCTATGAAAACCTGTCTCTTATAACATTTCTATGTTTCTGAAAGCAAGTAATGTATGTTAACTTGGGTTGCAATTAACAGATTTCGCAAGCATGAAAACAGACCACCAAGTTATTCCATGGTACAAAAACGTAAATAGAATTTCAGCCTAATACTATTTTTATTTTCACTTGTGTATCTGTATGCGCATACACACATACACATATGCCCTATGTGTCACATAAGCTTCATACAGAAAATAATAAAAATGAACATGTGAGGAAATAAAGTTTACTGTGAAAGTTCAAATGAGCAATTGTGAAGCTTTAGCTTAGATGAGTTTTTCCGTGATTTTAGATGCCATACGCATTAATGTCATTATGGGAAAAGTTAAAAATAGGATATCATTTTTAAGAAATAATTTCTTGTTGTTTTTCTTTTCATAAAGAAAGGACTAGATTTCATTCATCAATGAATAACTTGGCTTTGTCATTATGTGCTAAATTATCATTGTTGGTTGCCCAACATAAGGAGTTAAGGGGTGAAAGGGAAAATATTGGAGTGTCAAGTAAATATTAGAATCTCAAACAGCATTTTGTATTAGTTTTGTTATACCAAAACCCCAAACCTCTGCCATCCACATAACTTAAACTAAGCCTGCTGTGAATTCAGGGAATTATAATCACAATGTATTAGAGGACACTCAAGTGAGAAGGCTATTTTAAAATATGTATTGAACATCATGGTGGTTAGACACATGTTCCAGCAATATAATGGAAAGTCAAGCAGAGCAGTGAATAGATGCAGTCTAAAACTCTTCTCATTACCTATTGTGATCCATCTATCCCTGTTTACATAACTATGTGATCAAGTTTCCTTAGATTGAAATATAAAATGCAAGAACCACTCAATTCACTAGGAAAATTGAATTCCATTCTCCTACATAATAAATCATGCACCATTATTTCATAATCTGCAAACTATGATTTGTGTTTGCCAACCAAATGACAATTGTAAGTGACAGGCTGATAATGGATTATAATCTTATTTTAGAGGAGGAATGCAAATGCTATTTTTGGCAGTTTAGATTTGCATGCTTTGACAATGAAGGACTGTTTGCCCATTACTAAAGCGTGGCTTGGTATTACAATTGAACAAAATATCCTGTTACTTTAGATATCTTGACAATCAAGTCAACTGCACCAAGTTTAGACGAGTGCATTTCTGTCACATTTGTGTGAACATTCACTTATCATGGCTATGTGATCCTGGGTTTTATGCTGAGCACAAAGTGTTAGCCTCCTGAATATCATGACTTATTCTGCAAAAGACACACACATATACACACACATACCTGTGCACATTCATTTGTTTCTAGAAATAAACTAGATATACTTTGAAAAAACAGAATTTGAAGCTGTGGCTGAGCAGAATTTCCAGTGTTTAGAAGACAGAACCCTGGTTCTGCTTGATTATTTGCCCCATCTTTTGAAGAAGTATGCTAAAACGGTTAATGAATTTGGGGATACTATATGTAATACAATTTAATATGTTGCAGAACTGAAAGCTGAGAATGAGAACAGCAAAATCAATGTGGGCATAAAATGAAAGAGTGAGAAAATCTGTAAATACCACAACAGGAAATGAGTGATGACATCTTTCTCAAAAGACTTAATGTAACTATCATAAGCCAGGCTGTATAAACTGCTTCTGCAGTGATACACTAAACCATAATAAAAGCAAGGCAAACCAAGCCCAAAATAACACAGAGCTAGTCCTTCAGACAAGGATTTCTCAACCTCAGCAGCATGGACTTCAGTCCCAGGATACTGGATGGGAAAGTCTGGGACAGAGGTCTCTAAACTTGGCAACTTTAAGACTTCTGGACTTCAACTCCCAGAACTGTCCAGCCAGCATGGCTGGCTGAGGAATTCTGGGAGATGAAGTACATACATCTTAAAGTTGCTAAGTTTGGAGACTCCTGGTCTGGGAGGTAAAGTCCACACTTCTTAAAGTTACTGAGGTTGAGAAACATTGGTCAAGACTTTTTGGGATTATTAAAAAGAAAGGGGAATATAAGGAAACTAGAGGAAGTATCTTTTAGAAACTACAGCTAGGGTTCCCAGTGCTCATATACAGCAGTGCCTTATGTCGCATAACTCAATGGAAATGCTGAATAATGCACTCAGATCTTTTTTTGACAATAATAATATACTCTCCAAGATTTGGTTGCCTGTATTTTGCACTAGGTTTACTTTCTTCTACAGCAAATTAAGGAAACAGGGAAGTGGGTTTCTGTTGGATGCATTTCCTTTTTCTCTTATTATATTCATCCTTATCTCCCATGGTTGCAGTGGCAGAAAGTGTCACGTGTAATCAGACACAGGTCACTCAACAGTGCCATGTGTGCTCACTATTGGACTACTGTTGTTCACTGAAGCTAGAAGTAACACATTACTGTATACGCTATATTATTTTCATCTTTTCATGTGATGAAAATACCTAAATACTGAGTAATGACTGAAAAACAAGATTTATCTTTAATTGCTTTCTACTGATGAATGTGATAGGCTATATACCAAGGATGACAAATGGTACAAACCCCAAGTTTAAGAGACTTCATGCCAGATAAGAGCCATGATCCCTTTTCAGATGCCAACTACTAAATCTAAAGAATCATTTTTGTTCACAGGTTATAGTATCACCAATTTAATTTCATTATTCCTTGAAATTTAACTAAAATATCATGAGTGCAAAAATATTCTCAATATTTCACTTCTACAGACAAAGCCTCTGGCCACTTCTTGCAGATAAATTAATAGCAACCATGAACTAGAGGTCATGTATCAAAATGTGCATCCAACCCATTAAATCTGATCCAGGTGAAGATGAGTAAGAGCACATTGCAAATGATACCTGTATGTTTGATTTGGATAAGGAGGCCTTTTAATAAGCACAGATCTCTTTTACTAATATGGATAAAAATCCATTGTGCTTTCCTTTCATAATGTTATTGGTATGCGTGTGTTTAGTAGACCATAACAAACTACTGTGATTCTGGGAATTAGGATTATACATATATTATGAGAAATTTGACTTGTGAGATTTTATAAGATCTATGGATAGGTGATCTAAAAACAACAACAGAAAATGAATTCAAATACTAATACTAATCTCCACTTTTTGCTCCTTTGATAAGGACAGCCGAGGTTATATCAGCCAACAGCAAAAAAAAAGAAAAGAAAAGAAAAAGCTTATTTATATTACCAAATGCCATTCCCATTAGAAGATGGACCTGCTGACTCTCTAGGCAGCAAATTAACCTACTTTGAAAAAAAATGACCCGGAGTTTTTGGCCTTTCCTTTCAAGTTTTGATATATCCACAGAGCTTTCTTTTTCTTTTAAATATGTTGATGTTAACATTGGAAGTTTTTCCTATGAAAAGCTACAGTAGTTCTAATAAGTTCCCCCCAAAAAGCTAACCAAAATTTGGCAATGCTTTTTGTTCTGGTTCACCTGCCAAGGAGAAGGGAAATGTGGATTTTTCTCCTCTGGTTTGCATTAACATGTGTGAGTTTGCCACTGCTAAAAGCCTTGGTGCAGGCAGATCCTTTCCCCTTAGTGCTCTCAATTGTTTTCTATTTGCTCAATATCTAATTCACCACCCAACTGAAAGATGTTATCCCCACCAGTCCCGCTGTTCCTCCATGAGGAGTTTTCAACTTCTCTCCTACTATTCTCATCTTCTGCAGCACAGAAATCTGAATCTTCGTAGGAGAAATCTTCTTCCTGATTAGGATGATGTTCTTCTGAATTTGAATGAGGCTCTGGAACAGGGGTGCAGGCTGGTGTCCTGCCAGGCATGACGTCCACGTTGGTGGCCCATGAGTTATTGCTGCTGGTGCCAAGGGAGAACTGGTTCTGCTGAGGGCAGTCATCGACTGTGGTGCTAAGACTGTTAAAGGTTTGACAGTTCTGCAAAAAGATAAAAGAAAATAATCAACTTGAATGTGCAGCAATCAATACACAAACCCGAGTCTTTCCTTCTCAGGAGTCTATTATTTCCTCTATTGCATCATTATCTTATCATTTTAGGATGACTTTCAAAGCTTAAATAAGATTTTTATTCACTGCCATGAAGAAATGTGTACAACACAGCCCTATCCCAAGAATATGAACAGTTAGAGATGTTAATTACATTTTACTGAAATTTTGCCAGACCTGATTAAAACTGATTGTGTATATTCCCTGCGGTAGTTCAATAAAATGTTTTCACTGAAGTCTAGAATTAGGCTTTATACTAGCAAAAAGCCTAATTCTAGACTTCAATGAAAACATTTTATTGCATGATTCTTAGACTACCATCTTTAGGTCATACCCATTTCCAAACACAAACTAGATCTGAACTTCAGAGGAGGAAGAACATGATCAAGTTGCTTGTTCTGCCTTCCTGTCCACCTCCAGAAATATTCAAGAACTTAAAACAAGAGACCAGACAGGGGCTGACATGAAATATTTTAGATCCAAAAGACCGGAGATTTTCTCTTCTGTTTGCAAAGAGGTAGATAATTATTTTTTAAAACATGGATTAAAATAAAGCCATAAGTCAGCACTCCTTTCTTACTTCCCTTTGCTTTTCCTTTTTGGACCTGGAAAGTAGCCAATAATTTAGCTCAATTTATAAGGAAGGCCTAGAACTAGGGGTGGGATTCAGCCGTTTCAGGCCAGTTTGGGTGAACCGGATGTTAAATTTACATCTAATTTGCCAAACCAGTAATTGAACCGACTGGCTGGCCCCACCCACCCAGGAATCTCTATGCAGCCCATTTTGGATGCAGGTAAGTTCAGGGTCCGCACAGAGGTTTTGGGAGGGCGAAAAATGGCCCTCCCAGAAGTTCTGGAAGGAGATACCCATCATGGCCACGCCCACCCAACAACCGGGCAGAGAACTGGTTTGGGGATTTTTTAATCCCATCCCTGCCTAGAACAACTCATTAGAAACCATCCAGGGTTATGGATTAAATTCATGCAGGGTCACAGATTTCTATTTTCTGAGTCACTGTCATTCTGATTTTAAAAAGGGGGGGGGGCTTGCCCTGTTTATAGATATACAAATCAGAAAGTATACACATTTGCAACCTTCCTTCCCCATCCTTGAAAGCCACAAACCAAGTTTGCCTATACTGAAAGTTTTCCTAGAGTTTGGGGGAAAGGATGACATTATGACTTAGTTGCAGATGTAAGCTTATTAGCAGAGGAAGCATTTGTTACTCATGAGGTCTCAGCCTCTGACACAGTACTTCGGTTTCCAGTTACCTGGTAACTACTAAAAAACATTCCGTTTTCAAACAGGGCTGCAAATGAAGTGGTTTAGCTCTCCAAATGGTACTTTTCACTCCTCTCTGTTCAGAAGGAATTGTGTCAACACCTGTTCTCTTGTGTGCCAGGATTAAAGGTGTATACTAACTCGCATTGAAAGGGATCTTTTCAGTTTTTCAATTGCAGAACAAGTGTTCTGTTGATTAACCCATCATTGGAGGAGCACTCCAAGACCTTTGCAAGGCAGCTTTCCTTCGTCTCCGTCTTTTAACAAATAAAATTCTTATTGAACAGGAGCACCAAACACCTTTCTCAAACATTCATCATTTGTGGGACAGAAAGAACGAACTAATTAATTGGTTAGCCTGAACCATTGTATAATTGCTGTGACTAGATGAGAGGGAAAGGGCAATTCTGCTGGAGCTTTTTGAAATCAAACACAGCACTGCCTTAAACTGCAATCGACCGGCTTGCCAGTTTTATCCCGAGAAGCCTGAGGTGATGTTCCAAAGTTCATAGAGACCAAAGATAATATCCCGCTGAATTGTGCACCCGTTTGCAAAATTCAAGTGACAAGCAGATGATTTGCCCATTCCTGGGGTGCTAAGCTCAAGGCCAGTTCCCAGACACAAGTTCGAACAGCTTGTGGTTTTATTGTAATTATCAAATATTCGGAAAGGGCAGGGCAGGTTTGCTGATTTTTTTGAGTAGGCACTGAGTAAACGTGAAGCTATGGGAACACATCTTCTGCAAAAAAAAAAAAAAACATCTCCCAAAAGGAGAGATACCAAGTCAGGTAGCAAACAGTAGTTCCCATTGTAATTCTATTGTTTCAAGGTCATGCAACCTCTGAGAAAAAGTGCTCTGGTAACAGCGTGTGCAGCTGCTACCCACCTCAACCTCCCTTTTAAAAGCCGTCTTGCTAAATAACTTTCCTGCACTGATGTGAACCACCATCTAGCTCTTCTTCCTCCATCTATTGTTCTGCACTATAAAAAGTTGGTTGGAAATCTAGCAACTAGATGGAGCAAACTGGGTTCCTGGTTGCACAGAGTGGGAGCCTGGCTTCCCTTTTAATGAATTTATAGCTGGAATAAAATACTGCCTTTAAATGAAGACATAATGACATGGGGGACAAGATGTGTCTCAGCTTGTGAAAAGGGAATGGAAATGCGGAGCGGACTGATCAGAAACCCAAACTGATGCATATTTTACTAGACCCTGGGTGACTCGGTCAACAAGGATTCCTGCTTCCAAACTGATTAACAATTGCAGTGATACCTGTTTTCCACCTTATCACAACAATGTGTTTCGGAGACAAGAGAGATCAGGAGTGGGACATTTTGAATTCTGATTCTCAAAAAAAAAAAAAAAAAAATTCTGAGCTTTAAGATCTTTAGTTCAACATGCATGTCTTTTGCACTTGTTAAATCTTCTAGAATTTATTTTAAAAAATAAAACTATTTCCCAAAAATCTGAAATTTTTCCCTTTCTTGAAATAAACAATCAACAATAATGTTACAAGGGATTAGAAAAAAAGATGAAGCGATATTCCAGGAGAGAGAAGATGTTGTGTACTGATTTAAGATATGGGGATAATAAACATGTGGTCCTTGATGTATCATACTGTATGCTTCTTCAGTATAACAAGAAGCAGAAAATAGAGTTTGTTTTCTTATGCAGAAAGAACAACCCAATGCAGGGGAATTTATCTATGCCGAAGCTATTCAACTCCGCAGCATCTAGATGAGGTAGGTGCAAAACCTGACCAGGCACTTGGTTGCACTTATTGAAATCATAATGCAAGATGCTTTGAATGCTTGCCTCAAATCCACAGAATATGCACTTGTTGAGATTCCTTAACATTGGGTTTTATCATTGGGTAGGCACCCTAAAATAGCTCGTTCTATTTCAAGAAATGAAAAAAATCTAGATACAGGTAGTCCTTGACTTACGACCACAATTGATCCCAACATTTCTATTGCTAAGCGAGATAGTTAAGTAAGGTTTTGACCCATTTTATGACCTTTCCTGCCACAATTGTTAAGTGGATCACTCCAGTTGTTAAGTTAGTAACCTGGTTGTTAAGTGAATCAGGCTTCCTTGTTGTCTTTGCTTGTCAGAAGGTCTCAAAAGGGGATCACATGATCCTGGGATACTGCAACCATCATAAATATGAGTCAGTTTTCAAGCAACAGAATTTTGATCATGTGGAACCATGGGGATGCTGCAATGGTCATAAGTGTGAAATCACTTTTTCAGTGCCGTTGTAAGTTCGAACAGTCACTGAACCAACTGTAAGTTGACGACTACTTGGATTAGATTTTTAGAGGAATCATGAAGTGACCTGGTTGGATCCCTATGGCTGTTATATGTGCTTAACTGAGCTAGAAATCACCATACAAGCCACCCAGAGCTGCTTGGTTGAATTGGGCAGATATAGAAGTTGAATGAATGAACAAACAAACAAAAAATTTTTTTGGAAAAATCTGTGCAATACCAAGATACCAAATGATCAACGTTAAAATGTTTCCATAGATTTTTAACCAAATTAATTGACTTGAGAACTGGAGTTTTTGTGAATAACTACCAAAAGCTTTGCCCTTATATAATCTTATGGAGAAAAGCACAAAGACACCTGCAACTGAAACAGATGAAAGATCAAAGGTAGCAGCATTTTTAGAGCAAGAGCAGAGATCAGCATGGCTCAGATAAAAGAGAAGAGCTATGAAGATAAGGTGTGATCTTTAATATGTGCACTGCAAGGAAAGAAAACCAAACAGGTAACTCTAGTTTTGTTTATTTTTAGTTATGAGTAGCAAGCTTTACCCTTATTTGCGTTAATGCAAGTCCATATCCATAATTTGCTTATTTTCTGATCGATGAAAAAGCTCCCAATGAGGTGATGCAAAACACAATACAAATAATAAAGACACCCAACAACCAACATTTTAAAAGAATTTATATAAATATATTGCTATCGGCATATAAAAGAGTACAAAGCAGAGCTTTCTGCAATCCGATTTTAAAATAATAACATAAATATAGAACTTTCAACCCTTCCAAATCTCTAAAGGGAAAGTTGCACGTTCTATGCACAAATGCTTACATTTAAATGTTCTAAACCAGAGCTATCTTATCTATTTATTATGTAATGACTATAATTTCATGACAAGGGTTCTGATAGTCAATTCCAAATTGTGCTCAGTTTTGTCCAATTAAGTGTGTGCCAACCTTATCTATAATAATCCCTTAAATCTGTTGCTTCTTTTTTCCTGCAACTTTAGTGTTCCTCCTTCCCCATGTAGTTATGTTATACTCCCATGGGAAATAGAGAAGCTTCCATTATTACTGATCCTCTCTGGATTTAACACAAATGGAAAATGGGCTATTGGATAGCAAGAACAAAGGCTCCCAAAAGGAAGTTATGGTTACACTTTGATCCTCCTACTGTATAAAAAAAGGATTATCCTGTGATTATTAAGTCTTATTTCCCATGAAGTAGAGGCGGACACTTTCTGTTCATTAAGTGATCCCAGATATTGAAACTTAAAGGAGTAAAGGATTATTACAATGAGTAATACATTAACTCCTCAACTTACAACCGTTCATTTAGTAACCGTTCAAAGTTACAACAGCACTGAAAAAAGTGAGTT